TGTCTTGGCCTATTGCCCAGGCTGGAGTGCAGTGATGCAATCATAGCTCACTGCAGCCTCGACATTCTGGCCTCAAGTGATCTCCCCACCCCAGCCTCCCAAGTACTTGGGACTATAGGAGTCCACCACCACCCCCAGCTAATTTTTAATTGAGATGAAGTCTCACTATGTTGCCCAGGCTGGTCTCGAACTCTTAGCCTCAAGTAATTCTCTTTCCTTAGCTTCCTGAGTTGTGGGGATTACAGATGTGAGTCACCATCCTTGTCCTCTTATTGGTAGGACTCTATGTGACATTGTGAAGGTCATCTGTGGTCTGCTTGTCCAATATCCCTCCTATATTCCTTTGCCACTATCCTTCCATTTTTTTTGGGTGGGGAGGATCACTACCCCATTTCTAGTCCATGTGATTTGGGGAGGCCTGACCCTCCGTAGGCGATCAGATCAGCATAGTAGTTAACTCAGAAATGGGCATGTGACCCAAGCTAGGCCCATGACAGTCATCCCTGCACTTTTGCTGAAACTGCTGGGAATGAGGTGCTTTCTTTTCATTGGAATAGCTACTTGCAAGGCAGTAAGTAACAAGAAATTTCTGGGGCCATCTTTGCTGCTCTCTCAAAAGAGCCTGCTTGAAAAATGGAGCCAACGCAGAAGAAATGAAGGGACAGAATAAGTTTTGGTTGATATTAGCTGACCCCTGATCCCACTGAGCCAAAAGCCATCTACTCATGGACATTTTTAGTTATGAGAGCCAAATAATTTTCTGCCTTGCTGGATTGAGCTAGTTTTCAGTCACTTGCAGTGAAGAGAGTCCTGCCTCAATTCACTTCCTTTTAGGCTTAGGTCCCGCCTCTCAGAGCTTTAGAGCGGTAAAAAGGATAAAGTGAACCCAGGCAGTGCTGAGCTAGCCAGTCTCCTGGCTAAGTGTACAAAGAACTCTGGAATTACTACTACCCTGGTCTGATCAGTAGCCTTGCCTGCTGCTTACCATACAGCCATAAGGGTATTGTTTCCTTGAGCCCTGAGGCACTACACCTCTTTTTAAAAATGATTTTTATTTAGGTCATGTGTGGTGGCTCACGCCTGTAATCCCAGCACTTTGGGAGGCCAAGGAGGGCAGATCACTTGAGGTCAGGAGTTTGAGACTAGCCTGGCCAACATGGCAAAACCCGTCTCTACTAAAAATATATGATTAGCTGGGCTTGGTGCCTCACACCTGTAATCTCAGCTACTTGGGAGACTGAGGCATGAGAATCACTTGAGCCTGGGAGGTGGAGGCTGCAGTGAGCTGAGATCACACCACTGGGCTCCAGCCTGGGTGACAGAGCGAGACTCCATCTGAATAAAAATAAAAGATTTTTATTTAAAAAATGTTTTGTAGAGATGGTGTCTTGCCATGTTGTCTAGGCTGGGTCTCAAACTCCTAGCCTAAAGCTCCGGGATTATAGATGTGAGCCACTGTGCTTAGCCAGCACTATACTTCTATTAGTTGCCAATGCTTGCTTTGTTCTGTATTGTCTAGTGCATGCTTGAGTGTGAGTGTATGAGTGTGTGTGTGATCATGTGTGTGAGCATGTGTGTGTGTGTTCCTTTTACTCCTACCTTGCAGGGTTATTGCAAGCATCAGGTGGGATAATGTAGGTACAGCACTCAGCCCAGTGCCTGGCACAAATATTGAGTGCTCTCTGCCTTCCCCTTTTCTCCTCCTGATTCAGAGAATGACTTAAGGATCTGTGATGGGTTCCAATTTTCAATGTCCTCAATAAATAATGGGGAGTTGAAATACTGTTGCCAGAAATTTGCACTAGTTTTAATTAATTTTATCTGTTTAGAGTAAGATATCTCAAAGTCACTGAATACATTTATGTCACATATGTTTATGCACATCAGTATTTTTCTTCAGAACTGACAGCCTTAGTCCTTGTTTTGTTCCCTGATGCTGCAGCAGAGGCCAAATGTGTCCTGATTTCTTGAGTGATGGCTGCCAGCTCTCCGAGTGTCACAGTAGGTGAGTCCTCCATGGGGGCAAGCGCCAAGGATGAGTGTGGCCAGGCAGCATCTGCAAGCCCATTTTGTCTATTCTTTATTTTTGTAATACATTTTATTCTTAGGTTATAAATATGTTTATGTTTATTAATATATTTAATGTAAGTTTATATTTATAAATATAAACTTTATAAAGTGTAGTTTGTATGTATAAACCTTAAATATGTTTTGACTTATCCATATAAGTTTTTGTAACTTATATGGATAAGGCAAAACATGTAGAGTATACAAAATATTAATTTTGTTACCCATTTTAACCCCACCCTCTGAAGTAAACATTATAACCAGCTTCATGTGTATCTCTCTACATTTTTTATATACTACACTTTTTCCCACATTTTTACACTTTTATACATTTTCCTATTTTCTTTTTTACATATGCAAATATATAAACATACATATTTGCTTATAGGATGCCCCTTTTAATTTTTTAATGCAAAATAACATCATATTCTGTTCCTTGCTCTTTCCCCTTCCTTCCTTCCTTCTTTCCTTCCTTCCTTCCTTCCTCTTTTCTTTCTTTCTTTCCCTTCCTTCCTTCCTTCCTTCCTCCCTCCCTCCCTCCCTCTCTTCCTTCCTTCCTTCCTTCCTTCCTTCCTTCCTTCCTTCCTTCCTTCCTTCCTTCTTTCTTTTCTCTCTTTCTCTCTCTCTTTCTTTTGTCTGGCTCTGTCACCCAGGCTAGAGTGCAGTGACACAATCATAGCTCACTGCAGCCTCGACCTCGACCTCCTGGGCTCAAGTGATCCTCCTGCCTCTGCAGGGATTATAGGAGTGAGCCACTGTGCCCGACCTCTTTTCCTTTTTTTAAACCTAATAATCCCATGCCTCTTTTTGGGTCAATGTAGATAGATCTAACTCCTTCTTCATAGTGGCTTGTCTTCCATTGTATGGTTGTACCATGATTGATTTATTTAACTGATCTCCTATCAATGGATTTTTCAGGTCCTTTATAGCTTTTTGCAATTACACATAATGCTGACATAAATACCCTCGCAAATATTTTTTTTATATTCAAGGAAACATTTGGTGATTCTACTCTTTTGGCCCATGTGTCACATATGAAGGACACTTACTATATCAACCCTTAATCTGTCCATCAGTCTGCCACACGAGAAGGCATCCTTTTTTTTTCTTTGAGATGGGGTCTCAAAAAATCAGGCTGGAGTGCAGTGGTGCGATCTCAGCTCACTGCAATTTCCACCTCCCAGGTTCAAGCGATTCTCCTGCCTTGGCCTCCTGAGTAGCTGAGATTACAGGTGTGCACACCATCACACTTGACTAATTTTTGTATTTTTAGTAGAGACAGGGTTTCACCATGTTGGTCAGGCTGGTCTCGAACTCCTGATCTCAGGTGATCCACCCCCCTCAGCCTCCCAAAGTGTTGGGATTATAGGTGTGAGCCACTGTGTCTGACTGAGAAGGCATCCTTTTACCTCCCTTTCCAGGACATGTTTTTAGCAGAGCCCTGTTGGGAAAAACACCAGTTTATGAATGTAGAACCTGGGCCCAAATGTAAGACCAGCCTCACTCCAGATCTAGCCTGGAGCAGTGATTTCTCTGCCCCTCCCATTCTCCCTGTCTCATGTGACCTGAGCACCTCCCGCCTCCATGGTCAGTGACAAGCTGTAATTGGAGCGAAAGGGCTTTGAAGTTCCGATAAATGAGATAATAAATCTCTGCTCTCCAGGGATACAGGGCAGTGTCTGTGCCTATTGAATGGCCTCAACAGTGCTGTGTATATAGTAACTACTTAATTAATATGAAATAAGACCAATAAATCCAGCAGTTGAAGTGATCCCTTTGAAGTTCAGGTCAACTCTGAGCCATCTGAGAAGAATGAATGGAATGGGTAATTGAAACTGATAGATAATCCCCAAACCTCAACTTACTAGTTAATAGGGTTAGGCTCTTTACCTATTAAACCCTTTGAGATACTCAATTTGAAAACTGCTAAAATAAATCCCATACTTTCATTTATTTTTTCATTGTTGTGGGGCAGGAGAAATTGAGCTGTGAAATGGCCACCAGGAAGGTGGCAGGATGACGAGTCAGGAGTCCTGCGTGAGACATCCGCAAACATCTCATAAGCAGCTTCTGAATCACACAGCATCAAGGCTGCCAAAGTGCCTGGCCAATTTTGGACCTAGAGACCTAAGAATGGGTCTCCCTGTGGACTCCTCCTGACCTGGGTGGGGCAAGGCTCTAGGAAAATAGGTCAAATGACTTTTGGTCTAGAACCGTCTGGCCAGAGATGCCCCAACTTTGCCTTTTGAGCTATTCATCAAATCCAGCCTTTAGGATGCGACATCAGGGTTTCATTTCATGGGAGGATCTGGGTGCATTTTAGTTAAAAGAAGTGATGTCATCACATCCCTGCTGAAAAAAGGAAAAAGGACCCACTCTGTGCTGACATACCGAGTCCTGGGCAGGGAAGTCTGGACAGACACCTGGGCCCCCACCTGGCTTTTCTACCAGCTAGCTCTGTGACTCTGAGACCATTGTGTCAGTTTTCTCTGCCACAGTTCCTCCCTCTGCAAAACGAAGGGCTTGAAATGCAGGATTCTAAGATTGTGGCCATATCTGACTCTGATAACAACCCCATGAGCCTGAAGAATTCAGCACTGCTGCTCCATAGGGGGTTTCAGCAGGAAGCAGGCACAGATGGCTTTCTCTGGAACGTGTTCAGAAATGTGGTGTGTGATGTACGGTGTGAATGAAGCGTGGTGCCCTTTAAACACAGCTTCCCCCTGGGAGTGCTCTGAGCTCCTCAGGTTCTCTGGCTCTCATTCACATTCCACTGTCACTCTGGGCACAGGCAGCCCTCACGTGCTTGTGCACTGAGCACACACACACACCCCGCCCCGACTGACACACAGTTGGTGACTCACAACTGACACAATCATTACACACATCGGATGACTCAGCGGGGACGCTCACACACATGGGCTCACGCTCACCATGACGTGTAGAAGTGGTTGTGCCCACAGCGTCAGGCACCCCCACAGCAGCCTTGGTGGAGGCTCTCGCCAGCGGTGTCTGCAAATGATTTGCATTCTTGGCTCTTTGGAACTGCCTGTTCTTTGTCTTTCTGTTCACTGCTCAACCCTTTCCTTCCCTTCTGTCCCAAACTTGGCTGGTTTTAGTCTCTTGCTCCCAAGCTCCTCAGCCAGCTTCCTGGACTGGCTCAGGCAGTCTCTAAGGCTCCTGCCAACTCCAAGGCTGCTTCTAATCAACTCCTCAGCTGGGAGGAGTCGCTTCCTCAGGGGGTCTCATTCCCTCCCCAACCTGAGCATCTCTTCCTGTCTTCTTCAGGAAGATCTTCAATATCTGTGCCATTTGAGCCAGCCCCTTTCACAAGACAAGGAGCACCCAGAGCCAGTCACATCATAGAAAGTGCTGGCGGCTTCTGGAGTCTCTGAGTCTTCAGTGTCTCTGGGGGTGCCCTTTCTCTTTCTGGCAGCCCAGGCAGATAGAAGTGTTGGGGTTCTTAGAAAATCATCTCTGGGAGTTGAGCAGAACCAGCTGGTTCTGGAGAAGCAGAGAAAAAAGATGCTGCACGTCCCAGCCATAATGGGCTGGGAGGGACCTACCCCAGAATGGGAAGCAGGGTGGGGAAGCAGCACAGAGGAAAGAGAGGCCTGTGTCCATGGCTGCTGGCTGAGGTCTGATGGGAAGATAGGGGAACACATCCTGGAGCTGCACTTCCTTACAATTCATCTTCTGCTTTCAGATTTAAGGTTACTTTGCCTAGAATAACTCCTGTCTTTCCTCTTTTCCTGGGGAGCCCTCACACAGGAGAGGGAGTATGGCAGAGTGTGATGTGAAGAGCCCAGGCCAGGGTCAGAGGCGCAGGCATAAGTCTCTGCTAATAGCTCTGTGGTCCTGGGCTTGACATTAACCATTTGAGTCTCTGCTTCCTTGACTGTCAGATGTTCTAATAGCACTTTTCCGCATCCTCTGAAGATGTGGGGGCGTGGATCAGGTGAGCTAGCAGACGTGACAATGCCTTGACAAATTAAAAGTGGCACACAAAAAAAGTGAGAATTTGAACAGCAGCAAGGAGATGGTGGAGGAGCTGCCCACAGAGGGTCTTTGAGGGAGACCTGAAGATTCTCCTCCTGAACATGGGGTAAAGTCCCTGCTGGAATCCCAAGGCTGGTTCGGGACCTCCTTTGACTCCGGCACCAGAGGCCCAGACAAGTACTTGCTAGGCCCCTGCTTTGGACCCAGCTGTCATTGAGCTGAGTGTTTTCCTGGAGAGAGGAGAAGGGGTCCTTCCATGTGGATTTTCCCTAAGTATAGATGCTGGCCCAGCAATGCCAAGAACTGAGACACCCTGTGCCTAGCTCTTGGCTGGCTGCTTATAGCTTGAAATGCCCTTTTCAGCTCTGAAACTTTTAGTCTGGCAATCCTTGAGAGCATTTTTTCCCTCCTACTTGGGTGAGAGCTTTATCTTTGACCTCATTCTATCCATCTGAAGAGCTAGAATCCAGAGGGAATGACCTTGCTTTAGCAGACCCGAGTCTTCGTCTCTCTACCTCAAGCCCTTGCCCTGTGAATATCCTCAGCTCTCCCTACAACTTCAAATCTGGAAAAGGCACCAGGCACGGTAGCTTATGCCTGTAATCGCAGCACTTTGGGAGGCTGAGGTGGGTGGATCACCTGAGGTCAGGAGTTCGAGACCAGGTTGACCAACATGGTGAAACCCCGTCTCTACTAAAAATACAAAAATTAGCCCAGTGTGGTGGCATGTGCCTGTTATCCCAGCTACTCAGGAAGTTGAGGCAGTAGAATCGCTTGAACCCAGGAGGCAGAGGTGCAGTGAGCTGAGATCGCACCACTGCACTCCAGCCTGGGCGACAGAGCGAGACTCTGTTTCAAAAAGAAAAAAAAAAAAAAAAATCTGGAAAAGGCTTCCTCAGCAAACAGACTTACAAAAATTTCCAGTTAGCTCTTTCCTTACAGTTGGTCTGCTGTTTTTGGATTTAAGGTTACTTTGCCAATGTGCCCAGCCTTAACTGTCAGTTAAATATTTAACATACATAGCATGTACATCAGACACGGTTCTAAGCATTTTTCTACAATATTAATTAATTTTCAGAAAACCCTTTATGGGGTAGGCACTCTCATCCCCATTTTGCTGCATAGGACTCCAAGGACAGAGGTTAAATAACATGCCTAAAGTGGGGCAGATTAGTGTACAGTGGCGGGCGTGGAATTCAACCCAGGCCACCTGCCTGGGGAAATTAGCCTGTGACCCCAGCTTTCTTCTGCCCACTGGTGGGCGGTGATTCCAATAGCACCATATGCTACTGATGGTTTTCTTGAAAGCAGCAGGAATTCCTGATCTACTGGCAAGAAGGAGAAATGAAGCAAAGCCAGAGCTGTTCAGACTCAGGTCCACTCCAGCACACGCGCCTGCGTTCTCATTCCTCAGGCTGGTCTCTTCCTTGACTCCTTCAAGAGCTGCATCTACGAGAGAATAGAGCCACTCTTTCCCTAACTGTCCTCTCTCCTCTTCTCTCTCTGGGGGAGTCCTGCAGAGCCATTGTTCTCCCAACCTCAACTATTGGGCCTCTCTTGGCAAGGACCTAGCGGCGTCTCTTATTTACCCATTAACGATTAAGCTCCAGGCATTTGACATATAAACACAGAAAACATCAGCATCATTACAGCAAAGATTTCAAAAGATCTTTGGCAGGGAAGGGCTTGATATTTACTTAACAAAAGAATTCCTTACTTCGGTTTTAAGAAAGAATTCACAATAGGATTTAACAAGCCAGTTTCTCCAGTAAATTAAAAACATTCTTTAACTCATTCAGAATATGATTTGTGTTTTTAAAAATGTGTCTCACACACAACTTTTCAAGAGAACACTCGCGGCGTTTTCCCTGAGAGCTCTGTTCCCACGTTATCTTCTAGTGTTTCTCATTTGTTGAGATGGTCCTGCACTAAGCAGAGAGAATAGCTGCGGAGGAGGGGGTGTGCCTTAGGATCTAAGATTCCACCCCTAGCGACTCTTTCTTTTGTTTCAAGAGTGACTTCTACAGAAGGGTTTCTTTATTATACAAGAAGAGTGTCGCTAAGTATATCTTCCATGACTAGACGTACTTAAGCCAGTCTATTAGAGTACTGGGCCCTTGGGAAGAGGAAGGAGGAAGGGGAGAAAGAACACAGGTAGGTTTATTGGGGGAAAGAAGGGATAGTCACCTGTTCATTTGTTTGTTTGTTAATAATGACTCATATTCCTACCATTGCCAGACATTTGGAATACAAAGGTAAATAAGATAATAGTATAGTCCAGGATCGGGTGCAGCGGCTCACACCTGTAATCCCAGCACTTTGGGAGGCTGAGGGGGGTGGATTACCTGAGGTCAGGAATTTGAGACCAGCCTGACCAACATAGTGAAACCCCGTTTCTACTAAAAATACAAAAAACTTTAGCCGGGCATGGCGGATGCCTATGATCCCAGCTACTCGGGAGGCTGAGGTAGGAGAATCACTTAATCTGGGAGACGGAGGTTGTGGTGAGCCGAGATCACACCACTGCACTGCAGCCTGGATGACAGAGCAAGACTCTGTATCAAAAAAAAAAAAAAAAGAAAGCTACCCACTTGAGCAAGGGTAAAAACTCAGGATGGGGTGCCCAACTAGACGTGGGGACAGTGTTGGGGAAGCCACCGCAGAGTTGACAGCAGAGTTTCCAAGGATGAGAAGTAATAATAATTTTTAAAAGGGTCGGGTGCAGTAAGTAGCTCATGCCTGTAATCCCAGCACTGTGGGAGGCTGAGGTGGGAGGATCGCTTGAAGCCGCAAGTTCCAGACCAGCCTGGGCAACATAGTGAGACGCCTTTCTACAAAAATTTTAAAAATTAGCTGGGTGTGGTGGCGGGCTCCTGTGGTCCCAGCTACTCAGAGGCTGAGGTGGGAGGATTGCTTGAGCCCAGGAGGTCCAGGCCGCAGTGAGCTCCACTCCAGCCTGGGTGACGGAGAGAGACTGTATCTCAACAGCAACAAAAAAAAAAATTAAGAAACATTCCTAAAACTTGTATCTGCTGTGTGCCCAACATTATATAATACTAAGCATCTTGCATTTTAACTCATATAATCTTCATCAAAATATAAGGAAAGAGCTACTGCTATCCTTATTTTACAGAAAAGCAACCAGGCTCAGAGAAGTTAGGGAATTTGCTAAAGCCTGCAGATAGTGAGCAGTAGAAATGGGAGAAAACCCAGGCTTTCCAGCTCCAGAGCTCATGGTTAGGGCTTTTAACCACTATTATATATTTTTGTATACAGAGGCAATTATTATTTTGACTATGAAATATTTAAAATACCAAGAAGAATGCAAAGAATAACATCATGAAGGTCCACAAATCCACCGTTCATCTCCACTAAATTCCAGTATTTTGCCTTGCTTACTTAATTTTTCTTAAAACGAAAAGAAGTTACGAAAAAAAGATATGATGGAAATCCCCTTGTGTACTGCACCCTGAGATAAAGACTGAATTCGGGCTTCTCTTTTCCAGGCATGTATTTATATTATTAAAGCATTTGTAGATGTCTAACAATATGTAATAGTCTGTTGCATGTTTTCAAACTTGTATAAATAGTGTCATTTTTACAGGTTGCTTTACATTCAACATTATATTTTTGAGATTTTATCTTTGTTAATTCCACATGATTTTAAGTTCATTTATTTGAAATACCATGTCAGGCTGGGTGCAGTGGCTTGCGCCTGCAATCCCAGCATTTTCGGAGTCTGAGGTGGGTGGATCACTTGAGGCCAGGAGTTAGAGATCAGCCTGGCCAACATGAAGAAATTCTGTCACCACTAAAAATACAAAAATTAGCTGGGCGTGGTGGCAGGTGCCTGTAATCACAGCTAGCTACTCAGGTGGCTGAGAATCTCTTGAACCTGGGAGGCAGAGGTTGCAATGAGCTGAGATCGCACCACTGCATTCCAGCCTGGGTGACAGAGTGAGGTTGTCTCAAAAATAAATAAAATATAATATCATATCATAAATTGTATTATATATCTTTAAAATACTACTATCTAGTATTCCATTCTATGAATAATATACCATGTCTGAATTTCCTAGCTTTTGAAAATATTTTGCTATTACAGACAATGCTGCAATGAACTTTCTTGAGCACGTCCTTTTTTGCCCTCCTAGGAGAATTTCTTTTTTTTTTGAGACAGGATCTTGCTCTGTTGCCCAGGCTTGAGTGCAGTATCATGATTGTAGCTCACTGCAGCCTCAAACTTTTAGGCTCAAGCTCCTAAGTAGGTGGGACTACAAGCACATACCACCACTTCTGCCTATTATTTTTTTATTAATACTTTTTGTAGAGATGGGGTCTTACTCTGTTGCCCAGTCTGGTCTCAAGGTATCCTCCTGCCTTGGCTTCCCACAGCTCTGGGATGACAAGTATGAGACACGATGTCCAGTCTCCTAAGAGAAGTTTTAGAAGGGGCATTGCTGCGGTGAAGGGGAGGCCCATTTTCAGCTTCATCTTGTTAACTTCCACTCCAAAGGGGTTGACCAGTTGTACTTCTACCAGTAGTGTGTGAAAGTCCCATTAATCTACATGTTCCCAGGACTTGCTGTTGTTAATGCTTGGGTCTGAAATAATTTCTTATTGTTATTTTAATTGCATTTCCTGATTACTAGGACAGTTGAATATT